CCAGCTGGCTCTCTGGGTTTTCTTTTATAATGTATCAGTCTCAGAGGTACTTGCTGGGGTGTCTCCTCCCTCTCCCTCTAGGTCCCAGGGAAGGAGCCTTCACCTTCAGATGCAATTCTGGCCCTGTGTCAGGTCAAGGAGGTGTGGTGGGCTGAGGCTGGCTCTAAAAGTCCCCTCTGGAAGGGGCACAGGTCATCTCCATGTACCAGGCATCATCGTCGGCAACACCAGTCAGGCCACATCGTAATAGCTAGGAGTGGGAAGCAGGAGACCAAGACTGGTAGGAAAGACCCTTGGTGTTTCCCACAGCGGGGTGGAGGGGCCAGCAAGTCCCTGGGCAGGGAAAGGACACAGTGTGGTGAAAGGTCAGCTATTTTCAGGGCGAGCCAGCCCTGAGCAGCCCTTCATCAGAAGGAGAAAGTGGGATGGAAGAGGAAAGCTGGGCCCTGGGTGATGTCCCCCAGGGCCACATCAGGGAGATAGTGGTGGCTTCGGCTAACCACAGGAACCACAAAGGGTTTAATGAGGCAGAGCACAGGATTTAAGTCACTCAGGGTGGCAGGGGCATTTGAACACAGTGCACTGCAGGGGCAGAACCCACAGTGGGGACAGCTGAACGGGGCCCAGCAGGAGCCACTGGGATTTCAGGATGGCAGCAGCAGCAAGGCTGCCCTGACAGGCCACAGAGGAGGCCTCCCCGCAAAGAGGCTGCCAAAATCTGTAAATAGTTAGCTACAGACTGGGTTGACTGTAGACTGAATGCCCTCCTCCAATGTATGTCCAACCAGAACTTTGAAACATTACTGAATTTGGGAACAGTTTTTTGTTTTGTTTGAAGATCTAATAAGCGAGTCAGGACAAAGCCACACTGGATTAGGGAGGACCCTCACCCAATAGGACAGACAGGGTTTCAGCTAGGTTCTTCTCACCAGAAGACTGGGTGCACAACCACAAGGACACAAGGTGGCAAAGGCAGAGCCTGGAGTGCTGCATCTGCCAGCCAAGGGACACCAAGAACTGTCAACTGGCACCAGAACCTGGAAGAAGCAAACTGGAGGCTGAGCTGGGATCGGGGTCCTGCAGGCTTCTGGACTCCAGAGCTACAGGAGAAGCAAGTCTGTGATTTTGAGACACCCAGGATGCAAGACTTTGTCATCACTGTCCTAGGATGTGCATGCAAATCAGGAGGGAGGAGAAGCTGATTTCCTTTGGACCAAACATGGTCTCCTCTTCATTCCCACTCAGAGGGTTTTTTCACGCCTTGCCTGGAACCTCAGTTCTCACCTCATTTAAAGCCAGCCTCCTCTCTGGTTCTTTTCCATTGTTGGTCTTGTCACAGGCAACTGGGATCATTGGCCTGGGTCTGAGTCTTCAGGGGGAGTGCTGCACAGAGAAGCTTGAATGTAGGCTTGATAGTAAAGCAAGCAGGAGGGCTGGGCCCCTCTTGAGAGTCCAAGCAAGAAGACTGGATGGGGTGGAAATGAGAGAAACACTCCTGCTGGCTCACAACTCTACCAAGTGCACCTGAAGCTTGTGCAAGTGGTACTGTGCAAGACACCAGGAGAGACAGAATGGAGCACTGCTGCTGCCTGTGGCCAACTGGCGGTGGTGGTGGTGGTGCCTTCTTCAAAATGACCCAGTAAGTAAAACTTTTATAGGTAAGGAGGCTCAGGTGAGAAATTAAACAGCTCACCCCAGAATAAATGGCTCTGCAAGTGGCAGAAGTAAACTACACATGGGTCTCAGAGAGATGACAATGATGGCTTCTGGGGACAGGGCATTGGGAGAATAACGGATGAAGATTTTTGGTTTCCTCACAAATGTCACAGAATTATTCAGTTAGGTCTGTCTGACAGGAACTGGCTCAATCACATACCACAAAGGAAAGGAAGAGGTGCTGAGCAAGAGGGGCTGAGTACGCAGATACCTGTTCTGAGAAGCTTGGAGAAGAGAGGGCGGGAGGTGTGGGCCGTGGTAACTGGTAGGAGCCTGGGGTCCACACAAGGTAGCCTAAGATGACTTGCCCATTGCAGTGAAGGTTTTTTTTTTTTTTTTCTGACTGGAAAGATCTACATGAGATACAGAGATGGGTGCTAGAGGACAGAGGGGACCCTGAGCAGTTGGGCTTGGGAGCTGGAGAGATACTGACTTTTCAGGAATGGCTCCTCATTTCATCAAGAAGGATAAGAATATAAGACTATATCTGTTGGGTAACACATTTTAGTCAAAGCACCTGATGATTTCTTCCACTGATATCCTTCATGTACAAAGAGCTGTGGTAACTTGCCTAAGTCATCTTTTTTATTTTTTATTTTGTGTGTGTGTGTGTGTGTGTGTGTGTGTGTGGCCAGCTCAGTCCACCAGGGGGCGGGGCTGGCTGGCATGTGGTGCTGGGGGATTGAAACGTGGTCCCTGTGCTTTGCTAAGCTTGTTCTAAGTAGGTGCTTTAGACCACTGAGCCATCTCACCAGCCCCTGCCTAAGTCATCTTAGCTTGTAAGTGGTGACAGCCAGTTTGGGGGTCGCAGACCTATGGGTTCTTCTCCATGGATTCATGCCCTGGGTTCCCCTGAGTCTCTCTCAACCCCCTAGTACCCACAGATTCCAAGAAAGAGGGTTGAGAACAGATTCTTCCTATAAAACAATTTAAAATCTAAGGTGTCAACCACATAGAACTTTCTAGTAGACCTTAGTCAAGAAAATCTAATCTTTGTTCCTCAGATACCTTTGCAACGCATGCGCATTTATTGAGCAAATTTAATTCTGCTGACCAGTGAGAAAGAGAAATAATTCCAACGACTCATTGTGGCTGCACCCACTTGCAGCTCCAGGAGCTTCTGCTACCTCAGCTGGCAGGGCCAGGGGCAAGGATGCAGAGGCAGTGTTGTGAGCAGCCTTCATCCAGTTCGAGGGGGTGATGCGTCCAGCGGGGGTACTAAGTTGGTCTTTTTCCTGTGCCCTCCTTAGGCAGACAGAAAACAACTGCATCATCCACGGCTCAGTGGAAAGGAAAGTTGCAGGAGTGACAGGGATTCTGCTATGTGCCCTCCTGACAAGGCGAATGTGGGATCCAATGATACCATCCTCAGAATTCTTCCAAGTCATTAGGACTCTGCCTTGCTTGCTTGCTTGCTTTTTGGTGGTACCAGGGATTGAACTCAGGACCTTGCGCTCCACTGAGCTATCTCCCCAGCCCTGGGACTCTGGCTTGAGATGTCACTCGCTGCCCCTGCTCTTCCTTCCTCACTCAGCTTTGCTCTCTGCATTCTCCTGACCCTGGTTCCTCACCTATCTGAGGTTGAAGGTCATCAAGAAGGTTGACCTTTCTAAATAAATCCAGCCCGTAACAGGCGACCTCCTCAGCATCTCCAGCTGCAGGGCTCATCTCTGTGCTCTGCTTCAAGGAAGACTTCCCCAAAGGAGTAGGAGCTGGGGAACATGACTTCCTCCAGGCCACACTGCCAGAAGCTCTATGTGTAACTGAAGGGGCAGGCACCTTCCTCTGTACTTTCCAACTGAATGTTCTGTACGTTTGACAGGTAGCAAACAATAGGTGCTCAATGTCTGCTGAAGGTCAGATGGGAGATTACAGAAATGTGAATGTGTATAAGAGGGGTACCAGACTACCAGATCTGAGAGGTCTTTCATTTCTATGTCTCTAAGGTGGAAAATGCTACCCGTACATAGTAGATGTTTAAGACAGCTGTGCAATCAATCAGCTAAACCTTGTTGTAGGAATGGTCAAGCTGATTCATAGGGCTCTGCTCTGCCCCTGCTCCTTGCCTTTTCAGTCCTTTCACAGTGGCTGAGCATGGACTCAGCAGTTGGTCAACAAATACCCATGGAATAACAGAAGGATTGGGGCCTTTTGGAGGCAAAAAAGATGCAGAGAAAAATGCTGGATCCCTCGCTTGAGAACACCTTGGGCTGATGTAGCAAAGATGCAAGCCAGGGCAGGCATCTAAGCTAGCCCTGGGTTCTGTAGTACACTGAAAACTGGGAAGGTGACTTTGGGACAGTGACTAGGGTGGGCTGTGAATCCGTCTGTCATTACCCATCAGATGATGTTTTTCTAGTACAGTGGTGGCTCGCTATGTGGCTCCACAGTAGCACCAATGCGGGACGCTGTTGCCGAAACCCCAAAGTCCAGTCTGCATTCCCTGAGAGCTGGTCTAGGGTGGGGCCCTGGCCTCCATGTTTTCTGTGCTTTCAGGAGTTTCTCCAGTGCAGTCAGCATTGAGCATCGCTGCTTTTCTGGTCCTGTGAGAACAGGGAGGCAGGTAGCAGTTCCACAGGAAACAGCACCAACAGGAGAGGACTAAGTTGGCAAGGGGACTCCCTCCAAGTTCTGGGAGCCAGGGAGGCAGCCTGGTCACACAGAAGATCCAGAACTTTAGACAGTCCACGCACTCAGAGCCAGGAAGACACAGAGAAGGACGGTGCAGGAGGGCAAGGCAGACAAGTATTTCCGCCGCGGAGACCTGTGGCTTGTGGAAGGGCCTGGAGTGAGAGTCTAAGGGAACTGGCTGGGCAGAAGGCAGCTGAACCAGGGTGGGAAGCCCAGCCGCCAAGGCCAGAAGGTAGTGGCAGAGTCGCCCAGAGGGATGTGTGGGCCTGGCGCTGACAAGGAGACACTCCCGGGCAGAGATGCGGGCCGCGCTGCGGCGAGGAGCCCCACGGAGCCCCGCAAGCACCGCGAGCGCGCACGTGCACACGCGCACATGTACACGCGCCGCCGCGCCCGGGTGGCCTCGGCCTCCTGGACGCTGAAAGGGGCAGCGGTGCTGAACCCAGCCCCGGGAAGAGGCGCCTCCCCGCCGCGCCCCTTCTCAGGCTTGCGCAACAGGCAGCGGCTGGGGCCGGCGGGCGTGCCGAGGAGGAGGGAGCGGGGGAAGGGGTGTGTCCCCGCTGCGCGCCGGGCGCCGAGGGTCGGGGAGGGGCGAGGCTGGAGGCGGGGCCGCGGCGGCTATAAAGTGGCCCTCCGCAGGGCCATAAACAAACGTCGCCCAGCTGCCAGCTCCAGCTTCGGTGGATACGCCCATCCTCCCTGCTCTTCTTGGATCCCGCGGGCGGGCGCTGCGGGCCTCTCTTGCCACCGGCTCCTTGCAGTTCTCCCGGAGCTTTAGGTAAGCTCTCGGCGCCGCGCCGGAGCAGCGGAAAGGGTCGCCCTCAGGGGGCTGCGCCAGCGCCGGGCTCACCCTTTGGCCCCGCGGGCTCCGGGAGTGAGCGCCCCTCAATTACCAGTGCGCGGCTGGGCTCGGGGGCGGGGACTTTCGGGGCGTCGGCACCACTGGAGTGGGGTCGCGATGGCAGGTTTCCCTCCACTTTCCCACTGGCTGGGAAGTGGGGTTCCGAGGATGGGGAGGGACGCTGAGCCTGCCCGGGAACGCATGGATGGCGCTTCCAGGCGCGCCCCTTAAAGAGTCACAGGTGGTGCCGCTGACCTGTGGGCAAGCAGGGCTGAAGACTGTGTGTACGCGAGTGTCTGGGGTGTGGGTGTGTAAGAGCGCCAGGGGGAAAGGAGCACTGCTCTGCCTGTGGGGATAGGGGTGGGTAGGAGACAGCGACGCTGGCGAGGATGGAGTGGGTACGGGGGTATTTGGTTTCCAGACTAGGCTGGGGCGGGTGCCCATCTAGCCCAGGAGTGGAGTGGGCTCTGTGTGTGTGTGTGTGTGTGTGTGTGTGTGTGTACGTGTGTTCGTGTGTGTACGTGTGCACGCGCGCGTGCTGGGGGAGGATCTGGGGTGTGTCACCGGCGGCATGCGCAGGAGCGAGTGTCGCGGCCCCACGGGTAGGGTGCGTCCTGAGGTGCCCTGAAACTGGCCTGTGGCGACAAAGGCACGGGAGAGGTGGCCTTGGGAAGAGGCATCTGGTGGGCCTTGTGCTGGCTGGCGATAGGGGTGGCGTCATTTTCGCTTCCGCCCATCCACTCCTTCGCTTTGCTTTTAGTCTCTCCTCTCCCAGACCAGCCTCTTTTGCCTTCAGCAGGCAAACAGCTGGAAGGGCTAAGCCGTCCCAGGGGACCCACCGAGGTCTCTGATTCAGCCTGGGGAGGAGATTCCTGCAGGGTGTGTGGAAGGCAGAGGCTAGGGGAAGCACACTGTCACCGCCTCTGTCAGATTAATAGCTGAAGCTGGAGTTTAGCAATGGCTCCCTTACCCCAGCCACCTCCCCTGCTCCCCCATCTGTCACCGACTGGCTGTCACCCTGCACTGTGGTCCCAAGCACCACTGCTCTAGATTGAGCTGGGAGGTACCTATGAGAAACAGTGTAGGGAAGGGGGCCTTTCCTTCCAGAGGCACTTCAACTGGTTTGGTTCGTTTTTTCCGAGGTCAGCCAGCGACCCCAGGGAGACCTTAGACTGCCTGGTGGTGCATTTGACCCATGCATCCCTCCTTCTGCCCCATAAACCTGGCACCTGTATACCAACCCCATCCTTGCTGTGAAGTTACGGTTTTAAGGGAAAAATGCATCAGCCTCCTCCTGCAGGGACATTCTGGAGTCAACTGAGTTTACAGATGTGAATTGAAAGAAGCAGAGTCCCTAGAAGGGAACCCCACACCCTGAGGGCTTGCAAGGGTTGGCCACTTGTTGGGGCAGTGGCATGGAACACACTGACAACTGACCGTTCCTGGCAGGGTGGCAGCAGGTGGGGGAAAGGAAAGAGGGGGGACCTCCCTACAGCATGGCTTGGGTCCAAGCGGCCATGCTGGAGTGTTACTCTGCCTGTACCTTCTTAGCCTTGTGGGACCTTGTCGGTCATGGAGGATAGGCTGAGGCAGAGAGGGGAAGAGAACTTTGCCTGCCTAACCCTGGAGACTGCCATCTGCCGCAGGATCTGGCACAGAGGAGGAGCTCAAGACATGCACAGGATGATGAAAGCAGTGCCTCGTCATTGCCCCTGGTCCTTTTGGCTCAGTAGGTAGAGTGCCAAGGAGGCTTAGATGGTGGTGGGTGTAGGTGCTGGCTTTGCCTCCTGGATTGTGTGTCAGGTTCCCCTTTCCTAAGGGGGTTATTCAGAGCGGCAGGCAGCTCTGGAGACTGCTAACCACTGGAGGGATCATTGGGAACAGAACACACAGCTCATGCAGGACCTGGGCCAACCTCTGCTCACTTTACATGTGGGAGCTAAGACCCCAGGGCATGGAGGCACAGGCCAGGCCCACTGAGAGCCAGGACTCTGCAAGCAGGCTCCTTGCCAGGAATTTCCTTGTGGGGAGTGGACAGATCTACTAATCTGCCTTGGAGGGACAAACAGATTGGCCTCTGCCAGGTTTTTGGTAAGGATACGTGGAGGTAGAGGAGGCAGTGTGGGTGTCTTTTTTTTATTTTGCTAAAGTGTAAATCAGGTATTTAGATTAGTAAAAGCATGCTGGTTAGAAAGAGACAGGGGTCACAGTCCCTGCGCGTGATAAATTTCTTTATTGCACTGAGCTGCTCCCTGCAGGATGCTTGGCCAATTTAAGCAGAGCTGGTGCCCCCTCAGTGCACTAAGAAGCCCCCTGGCAACCTCAGCCAGAAGGAGGCCACTGTGCTTGCTGATGGCCTGAAACTGGAGCTCCTCCCTGGGACCCAGCTGCAGGGTATCCACCCAAGATGTGATTCAAGGGCCCTGAGGTCCTGGGGAGCCGGCATGATGGCTCTGCAGCTAAGGCTGAGCAGGGGGCAGCACCAAGGAGGAAGGACAGGAGGGGTGCCACCTCTGTCTGCAGGGCAGCTGCTTTCTGTCTTCATCCCCGTTGGTGCTTGCAAGAGCCCTGCCTGGGCTGTGTCAGTCCCATCAAGTGGATGAAGAAACTGAGCCAGGAAGTTACCAGACTCACCTAGGATCCTGTGGCTGGAAGTAGGACAGCCAGCTGGACCTGGGTCCTGAGACATCAAACCTCAAAGCCTTTGTGTTTTATATGACAGCAGGTTGGGCTGCCTTGAGAAAGCAGTCCAGGCAGGAATCAGAAGTGCAGTCAGCCAGGAACTCTGAGCCTCAGTTTCCTGTTGTGTAAAATGAAAACAGCAGACATAGTTTCATCAGGGTGTGTGGGTTCCAACTGAGCTGATCCATGTAAACTGAACATAGTGCCAGCACATAGGAGCACCCAAGGGTGCTGGCACCAATGACACTTTCCAGCCATCTCCTTGGCAATCGGGGTCTGGAACTCCTTGTCCTAAACCACCCCTGGAATGGGAAGGCACCTGAAAATGCTGGACCCACAGTTGGCTTGCAGAGGTTTGCTATGCATAGGAGTGCTGGGGGAAAAAGGGAGGGAGAAGCGGCATGTGCTGTGTCTATATCCCGAGGAGGTGGTAATTAATAGGTGCTCCCATGTAACTTTCATCTGCCTAGCATGCCTTATGGTTCAGTGTACCAGCCTAACTAATGGAAGCAGAAGCCACTCTTCTTATTCTCAGATTATTAAATAGAGGTCCAGGCAGGAGACTTGCCTGCTCAAAATGGAGCTGGTGGATCCAGATAAGAGTGAGGCATTTCCAAGTCCAGCAGCACCCTCTCAGGCTGGGGAAAGAACTGGGCTTCCTTCCTGATGGCACCTGCTCTTCTCACTTGCTCTTTCTCTCCAGCCAGGTGAGCTAGCCTAGGCTGGCCTGCAGCCTTAGCTTTGGAACTTGGCCTACTGTGCGCAGGCGAAGCTTGGTGAGGATGGGTGTGTTAAGGCAGTGGGGACACTGGGTCCCAACAGGAAGTGCAGTGCATAAGTGGAGGCCCCTGGTGGGTGTTGGTGTTCAACCGAGTTCTCCATGATTGGTACCAGTGGAAAGAGAAGCCAGTCCCTGAGAAGATTGGGGAGTCTTTCCTGGCTCTGTGGAGCAGGATCTGTTTACAGAATGGGGTCTGTAAGCACCCTCTTTTGACCCAGAGTCTCTGCCTTTCCTATCTAACAATTATTGAAGACCTGCCCATCAGGGTTCTGCCTGCGGGCCTTTTTGGTCTAGCCGAGCATTCCTCCCCTGAGGGGTAGACAGTGAGGCTTGTTAGCAGTAGGCAGAGGCCATGCTCGCTGTCATTTACCTTAGAGCCTTCAACCAGTGTGGATTTAGCCCATGAACTCTGCTTCGAGGGGGTGGTGTAGGGTTGCATGGTCCCCACCTTGTCCCTAAAGCTGTCTCCAGTGTCCTAAGCTTTGGAAGGGTGAGTAAGACGCCTCACAGGTAGATAGTTGTACACATCTCTCAGCTGCAAAGCCCTGCCCTTCTGACTTTGACTGGAAGGCCCTCTTTGGCTTCATTCCTGCTGGATGGCTGGCTTGGGTTCCCTCTGTGGTCCCATGTGTCCTGCTTGGGGTCACACTGGGCTGTCACTGTGCCCCTGCTTTGCCATGTCCTTTTGAGATCCAAGAACCTGGCACTTGACAGGCACTGAATTCATGTGACTCAGAAGGCAGCCTCCCCCTACAAGGCAAATAACTTGGGCCACCTTGTGCAAGGCAGATGGGAGGCCCGTTCCAGAGGATGGGAGCAGCAGGACCATTTTGGGAAAGAATCTCATTATTGTGGCCAGTGTCCGATCCCCGGGACAAAGAGCCCTGTATGAGGAATCCATTTCCGTGTCCTAGGCTAACACTGGCTCTGTTTGTGTGATTTCAACAAATTATCTCAGACCATTCAGAGCAGCTCCTCTGCCTGTTCTGCAGATTCACAGAACCACCTCCCAGCATGACCAGTGTCCTCCTTCAGGCTTTCTGTTACTGCGTTTGGCCCTTTGGATGATCCTCTTGCCAATCCAATTCTTCTGCCAAAACTGCACTGCCAAGATGGCACTGCGAACCTCCAGGAAGATCCTGTGTGTTGCTGAGAAGAGGCGGGGCCATGGCTGGGTCCCCATGCCCCTCTCTTCCTGCTATTGTATTTCAGCTGCTCCCCATCCTCACAATTCTGTGCTAGACTGAACACACAAAAGTCCCTGGTCACCTCCAGGGTCCCCAGGGAGGGGAAGCAGCTCTGGGAGTGGAGCTGAGGCTGCATCAGCTTAGGGACCCCTCTCTACTTCCTCTGCACTGAGTAGTTCAGTGATGCCCACTCAGTATGCGGGGCCCTGCAGAGCTCTGGAGCACCTGAGAAATTTCCAGGCCGGAAGGAAGGTTGAGATATGTGCTTTGACATTCTTCTGATTTTG